CTAATAGAAAACATAAAGGCATTAAATTATGAGAATATATATTGAAATTTGATGTATGCAGCATTGGTGGAGGTCCCTTCGGCCATGCTTTTTGTTTTCATTGAAACTTAGTACATAACAGATTTTGCTCTGATAAGACTGCTAGGATTCGACCCTTCTAGCCAGGATTTCTCTAGTTCAAGGAGGAGGAAGGCCTCCATATGTGCTAAGAAACAAAAAAACCTAATTCAATGCTGAAAATAAAAAAGAATACTAGTAAAAGAAGTCTCAAAGAGCATACAACTATTCTTTTATAGGCTATTATTGCCCAATTCCAAAATAATATAGGACACAACCAATCTACGGATCATATACATTCCTCTTCATGCATTTGCTGCAGCCTTCTCTTTTTATTCACTGACATATGCCTTTCAGAGATTTTTCTGCAAGTGGTATACTTGGAGACATAGTTCAATTGGCCATCCAAAGAAAAAGTTCAGGGATCCTTTAGCTCTTATGAGGGTGATCTGCCCTTCCCTGTGTCCAAGAGTACTAGTTGGACTTGAATGGGTAATCAAGTAGTCCAGGACTTGGACCGAGTGTCACTCAATTGATACAAGCAGCTTATCTGGGTCCCAGTAGCAGCTTATGATAGTCTAAGAAAACCACAGGCTGCTAATTTATGTTATCAGAGTCACTAACTGGCTCACAAACTAATGCCAGGACTCGTCAAATTACTAAAGTTTGGAGAGGGGGATGGCCCTCTGATCCTTGTTTTTTATTCACTTGGATGTAACCTATGATACTTGTTCTAGAAAGTAATATATATTCTGTTTTGGTTAAAAAAAAGCATAAATAGCTATCAGGTCGTCCCAGTACTTTAAATATTCTTTTGATTGATCATGTGTTCCAACATATTCCTGTAGCATCCAATTAAATAATGACTAACAACACCAATAAACAATTACCAATGCATAGTTGGTGATCAAGAGAAGGTATCTAGGGTCTTATGCATGCATCATCTTGCATATCCTTCAATGACTTTATACTTCATGTCTCAGACTGCCTATCCAAACCCACTACATGACAGACTCATGATCCTCCCAACAGAACTGGCATGGGACCTTAGAAATTTTTGTTTCCAAACGAATGATCTAGGTACCCAATTTTCTGATTTCAAGATAAACAATCCTTTTTGGAAGAAAAGAATCTGCAGTTAGTGCAAATGGTGCTTCAGTATCTGGTGTTCAATTCCTTGATGACCAATTAATCTAACAAAGTGTTAGGATATTATGTGAACCTTTCTCTTTGAAAGAATGGCTTTACCAGCACCCTATGCTGACTCCCATTTTCACTCTTTTGCATTGAGACTTTGTTCCTATACAATTTGAATTATCTGTGGAGTATTAGACAATAAAAAATTTGGATACTTGTGGATGAGGAATAATAGACCTTTATATATCTTGCCATTCTGTCCAGTAATAGAACAAAAAGTAACGAACTAAATTGAGTCTAGGCATTGCTTGATTACTACTCTATGACCAATTTAGTCCACATGATTTGCATATGACTCATTCTAACGTGAATCTTTCAGCTGGAAATACCTTAACTAAATTACACTAAAAGAGAAATAGAACGAACTCTATGAGGTAGTTTATTTCTGTTAAGTCAAGCGACAATAATCACAGCAGCTCTGAATGACCACCATGGACGGATTTGAGTGAACAATTCTATTTTTTTTTCTCTCTGTTTGGACTCAATCATCTACATAATTAAAAGAAAGAGAGCACCACTACTCAAGGAGTATTGAAAGGTTGATCAGAGACTGGAACATAACTTACAACAGGGGTAGGCAGCCTTCTGGACGATGGTCTCGAGGGTATCATAGACTAGCTTGTTGTCGACCAAGAACCGGAGGTAACCATCAACGGAAGGCTCCCACTTGCTGACGGGCGGCGAGTCAGGCTCCTTCTCCCCTTCCTTGGCCTGATCCCTTGTGTGCAGCTTCATCGCGACGGCTCTCATCTCGTCCACGAACCCGCCGGCCCTTCCTGGCGTCTGCCGCTTCGGCATCTCGGTCGTGGTGGCTTTGACGACCAAGGCCCGCAGACGCAACCAGTTGCCAGCAACTACCCGGGGGCGGCGGAGGAGGAGTAGTCGGTGTGTCCCTAAGAAGGCGGAGAAGGGAGAAGGGGAAGGGCGACGGGGAGCGGAGAAATGTCGGGGTTGAGAGATGGGGAGTGTGGACGATGCCATATTTATGCAATTGCGGGGAGACAACGAGGAGTAGTCGGAAGAGAACTTTGGTTATTGCCGTTAGGTTTTGGCTTCTGCGAGACGGGGGATTGCGACAAGAAAGAGGAAGAGTACGGGGAATAGGCTTCCTTTATTTTTGGTGTGGCTGCTAAAACACGCATCAGCTTAACAACAACACGCGATCGCTTGGGAACTGCCTCGTTAGTGGATGAGGCCATGGAATTTGGATTGGGCCCCATCACCGCTGATTCCATAACAAAAAGGGTCGATTGACGGGTAGAAGAAGACGGACCGTCTCGTCATCGTTTTCCTTATGTTTCTCTTATCCTATGTTTTTTTTTGGGTTTCGTCGACCAACTGCGTTACCTTCTTCATCATTGGGTACAACCTCGGGGGACCCACTTATGGGGCCCAAACCGTCGGTCCACCTCTACCCGGAATGCACAGGGTGGGGCCCAGGTGCTGAAACGAGGTGGAGCCCACTTTCACGCGTGGAAAGTGCGCCGCGTCACTGTCGTTCCCTAAGTCCCGACGAGAGTGACGTCGCGCAGGAGCCACGTGGAAACGGTCCCGAAGAAGCTTCCTTCTATTTTATCACGTTAATGCTATGGAAATGATGATGGATAAATTTTCTAAAAAACTAATTTTATTTCTTGTTTTCTAGAAGGTTCCTATTTTCGGAGTCCTTAATATTTAAAATAACAAAAAAAATTCTCAATCATTCTTTTATTTTTCCTCCTCTCTCTGCCCTTTTCAAATCCATTATATTGAATCGACCCAAAACTTAAACCGATCCGAGATAAATAATAGCTAATAAATTAAATAATATGAATGTATATTTATTTTAATAAAAAATCTAAAATTATGAATATAAATATAATGAAAGCAATAAAATTATGACAAAATAATTGCTAATAAATAAATAAAATAAAATATGGCTTCATTAGATTTTTTATGTTTTTTATAAAAAAAATTAATATTTTTTATTAAAAAATGTGAGTTATACTTTTTAATAATATTATTTATTTTTTAAATATGATCTAAAAGTCAGTGTAACTCTATTAAAAAATAATTGAACTTAAATCTTAAAAAGAATTTTAATATCTTTAAAACCTCATTATACCATGTACAGGTGGTTTTTGGACCAAGGTTGTGGTAAATTCACCATAAATTGGGTAAAATTAAAAAAAAATCTAATTTTATATTTTAAAGGGCTAAAATAAATAAATAAATAATATTTTAATGGCTCAAAAAAGAAAAGATAATCATTCATGCATTTAAAGTTATTTGCAATATATTTTAAAAAAAATTAAAAATTTTGGAATATGTTGAATGTGAGTTATATTGTTTTTGAATGAGATTATCTCCTTTTTTTTAATAAGGTTCCCAAAACAGTATAACTTCATTCAAAAGTTTTTAAGAAACATTTTTATTGTCTTTAAAACCTTAAAAACCTTTCTATAATAATATTCATGCCACTAACATCTGTTTACCTTATTGAGACAACTTACCTAAGATTTGTCTCATGCCAATCCATTCTTTTGATTTCCTTGTGGTTTTGGAAATGAAGTAAATCACTCTAAAAAGGTTTGTCATATTGAGAACTGTTTCCAAGGTGATTCAGTCAATCTAAAAAGTAGTGGTGTCCAGAACATCCAAATCTAAGATGTGGATAGTAATCTAGTTGGGAGGTGACCTAATTTCAATTATTTCCTCAATTATAAGGCACATTTATGGCACTCAACGACCTTTGGACTCCCCATTGTCATCTACCCCAACTCTTATTAATGTGCCTGGAGTTACCTTGCCCTACTTGCCCTCATCTTTCTTTATTTTGGTACTTTGAATCTTATTCCCCAAGAACTTGTAGATCCTTCACTTGTAGGAATCCTACATACCTCTTTCCTTTCTTTGCCTAAAGGTTGCATCAGCTTACTGTGATTATGATCCCTCAAAAAGAATCACAGCCAGCCAGAGCTAAATTGTTGAGCATCTTTAGCTCCTTAATTTGTCTTGTTTAATGAGAACCAAGAATAAATGTTATTGCAGTGTTCTCAGCTTTTTGTTTTGAGTAAGAACACATTATTGGTGGATTTACTTGGAGTTAATTGTGTTTATGGTCCAGAAACAAGATGAGTGTTAATTAAGCAAGCACCTAAAATTGACTCAAAGTGATATGGATTTACATGAAACAGTGACCAATAGAAACTGGGGTTGAGCATGTAACAGTGCAAGGACTTCTCCTCAGCTGTATTCACAAACCTCAAAGCATGCAACATTCATTTTTCTAGCATCACAAATCCATCTTATAATGATAAAAATAATTCTACTTAGCTAGAAACTCAATATGACTGAACTTTGTGTGCAGGGAACAATTCTCTCATCTTCTTCTTGTATGAGATTTGTTGATTGAATGAGCTGAAGTAAACTGCAGTATGAGAGAGGCGCAGCTTACAGCATCTACTGCAGCATCATGGCAGCTTTTACTTGTGCCATCATAAGAACTCTGTAGAACTAATTGTTAGGAATCCCACAGGAGTGAAGGAGATATGGCTGCAAGATCCTAAAGACTTTAAACAGGAAGATAATTTGTGGTAGTCGATACTATGTTATATTCTCAATCTGATGACTAAGATCCTACTTAAATGTTCCCATTGGGTCTTTCCATTGATCAGTCATAGTGGTGGATAGATAGATAGATAGATAGATAAATAGATCGATAGATAGATGCAGTTATCACAGAAAGATTTATATTTGGAGGACATGAAAGCAACCATTTGAGCTTATGATATCTCTTAAGCGAAGGTTGTGCTTGTAATTAAGATCGTATTGTTACACTCGCATCACTTTCATGTTACATGATTTGATTGTGCATGTGAACTCTTAGATGAGGAAACAAAGATACATAGATGCTTACTGCAATCCTTCTCACCATCTTCAAGTGCATGAGACAGACTGCTACTCGATGGGATGATAGAGATGGATGATGTGATCTATATATGGTTGTATTCACAGACAGACCAAACAAGATGAGACCTACTAGAATTATCCTTGAGCTGCGATGTGGCCTAGACGAAGAAGCCGTCTTCACCTGCATGTGAAGCGGGGGTTGGGCGATTCCTGCTGAGGAGCTCTTCTATCATCTGCAACGCCACCCTCTCTTCGTCGTCCACCCCTCCGACCGCCCCCTGCGACGACGTCCCCTGATCCCCTGCGAGCGAAGACGGCCGCATCATGGCCTCCTTGGCGTTGCCGAGCTCCACGGTCATGACCCAGCTGGAGTCGGCGCGCGTGCCGGCTCGCTTCTGCCACACCCCGATGTGGGACTTCTCGGTGTCGAGGCGGAGGCAGGTGAGCGAGGGGGACGGGGTGGCCTTGCAGCACTTGCGGAGCTTAGCACTGAGGACCTCCGACAGGGCGGCCTTGGAGGACTCGTGGGCGGCGACCGCGCCGGGGTCCCCGTCGGGGTTCAAGGGCACGGGGAAGTTGGTCTTCGCGTTGCGCCCGCACATGAGCACCGACGCCTCGTCGTAGGCTCGCGCCGCCTCCTCGGCCGTCTCGAAGGTGCCGAGCCACACCCTTCGCTTGCTGGCCGCATCGCATGCACAACCACAAGAGGAAAAGAACGAAAGTAATGCCTTCATCGTCCAACATAGGTTGAGAGGAAAGAAACAGCAAGGAATCAACAGGTACTCCATCTTTGTGGGGAATCACAAGTACTACTTACAGAAGAGGATGTCTTATCTCAGAGACCCAGGAGCCCCAATGGCGCTGTCTGACTCCTCGGAACTTCTTCAACTGTACCATGATGCTGTTCTTGCAGTAAAACTCTGGCAGCCGGACAAGAGAAGGCAGGGAGGAAGAGATATATAGGAAGGAGACCAGAGAAGTAAAGACGCGCTTCCTTTTCACCGCCTGCAAAGTACAGAATCTCCAGGGTTTCTACTAGAGAGAGAGGAGCGAGTAGCTATAACTTGAGAAAGAAGGTGGGGAAGGAAGGGGGAGGGTGTCACAATAAGAGGGAGGAGAATGTGCAGGGAGGCATTGAGCAGAAGGTGGCAGATTTGTCGGTGAAGCGAGGCCATATGCTCTCTACCACACATAGTGGAGTGGTAATAAACTCCACCTACGCCCATGAACAACAACTCATTCAATTCTTCAAGCTTACAGCCTTCCTATACCTGTCTTCTCTGTCACTGATCCGAGACAACATAATCTTCCATCGGACCAATACAGCTTGTCAAACAAGAGAACAAAAGAATGACTGTTATGCAGGGTAAATCAATCAGCTTAATATCTAATGATATCTCTTATATTGTTTCATCATGTTGTTGCATGAAGCAGATGGTTGCACTAAAGAATGAATGAATGCAGTCGTATGAGAGTCCATAAAATAGACCCCTGACAATGACAAACATATTGTTGGCAAGTCTGATGAGATTAGCACTTGTAATTAAGAGCAAAAGGTATACAGAAAGACCACTGAAAGCAGTTGCATGAGATCAAGGCATCATCAGTTGGTGATGGCGATGATAGTAATCAATGCATGAGCTGAATCATGAATCAATCATCTATCAGCTACCAAGTTTCTTTGTGTTGAAATATGATTGCAGTACTTCATCTTTGCTGTCGGTAATCCAAATATATATAGACTGCAATATACTCCGATCCATCCACTCAAGGTAAGAAAATGTCATGAATACTTTCACAGATCGATCCGATCCTGTGCATCGTCATAAAAGCAGATCCAACCTCTTGTTTCTATTATCTTATCTCGAACAAGGAAGACCAGCATCATGGCATCAACCAGAAGTCAATACTTGTGATCCTTTCACCGTAAACATCATCTTCTTCCCATTTGCTTGTGCTCATCATACAGCTCATATTTACGATGAACTCGTCGCGGTAAATAAGGCTCTCTATCCATCTTTGATTTATGGAAGTAGGTTTTCTTGACCTGTGTTGTCTTCATTTGACTTTTTTCACTCGTCATTGAATCCATAGTTCACCTGCTTCTGAAAACCCATAGAGTGAACACAGCTGTTGGTACTCTCTGCAGCCATGAAGCTGGACCAGCCACGAGCCTCGACACAAAGAAGACCTCTGTCTCTCTCTCTCTCTCTCTCTCTCTCACTCTCTCTCCATATTCATTTGTGTATCTCACCCACACAAAGAAGACATCTCTCTCTCCATATTCATTACTAATCTGAGCCAAGGGTCTGTCATGTCAACCGAGACTTGGTTGTCATTGAAAGCTCATGCATGAGGCCAAATTAAAGGCACACCAGAGCTCTGCAGATGGTATTATAAATGCTCGAAGTTTCTTCCTTTCGTTTGCATTCATCCTTTTGGTCCCCAGAGGTTTAGATTTCCTGCACATATTCCATCTACACGACATGGGACATGAACAAGAACAAAGAAAGAAAAGTCCGACACAGCTAATCTCTCCTCCTCATATCTGCAACCTAAATGGATCAGCACTTGTTCTCAGATAAACCACAGACGTACATACATGATAACGGGCAAGAAGAGGCCTTTCGTTAAAGCAGCGAGATCAGTACATGTTCTCAGTGAATGCAGAGGTGAAGAGAAGAAAACACATGAGGCCATTTATTACCTTCATCACCACCCCACTGGATGTACCCAAAAACACTAGCTTTAAGCTGTGTGGTTGGGGATAGTTCATTAGCCTTCATTAGGTGATATGGGTTCCAACTACATCTTTATAAAGTTTTATCTAGGCTTGTCATCTAAGAAATAAATAACAACTACTGTAGGTATATTGTTCTTGTTAGTGTTACAAGGACCATAGATTAATCTCATACGATTACGATAAGTGACAAAGTCAGGATTCGAACCTAAAATCTTACGATAAATTATCAAAATTTTTATTACTTTCGTATTAATATTTTATCATGTCTTGGTCCATAATCATTCTATATCTGTTAGAGAAATTTTAAATTAATAAAATAATAAAATGGCTAAAAAATTCTAAAATCTTTCTATATCTATTTAAATAATAAAAAATAAAAATATTAATCCAAAGTCCATTTTATACCCTCTCATAGACACTTGATGAAAGTTGATCCACAATTTTTCTAGAAGCCCAAGAACTCAAGAAATCAAACTGTTTCACATACCATAATGCATCAACATTATGAGATAATAACGATTTTTATCCAACATGGAAGTTTTCTTTTAGATTGAATTATCTTTGTCCACATAATTTAGCTATCGAGTGGACCACACCCACTATTCATGACATGCAAATTGTCACCACCGTTCATAAGAGTGTTAGGGTTCTCAGCATTAGAGGACGGTGCTCATCACAGTAAGTTCCATCAGCCATAAGCTAATGAGATAGGGCTCTCATGACTTTCAATATTTTTCTATCATTGTCTCTCGTTAGTTCTCATTAGCATCGTATTTTTTTTATGCATGTTTTACTTCTCCTTTGAGTGAAAATTTGATGACATGAAGCTCGTGGAAAATGATGCATTGCATTCGATCCGTCAAGAGCTATCTTTCAATATTGTCATCAATAATATATACGAATTGTTGAGAAAAAACTTCTATTTTTTATTTTCATCTAGAGATTTTTTTCTCATATTTTTCATTCGATATCTTTTTATTTATATTTCTCATAATACACTCATAATTTTTTTTATGAATCTATTTTTAATGGATTCATAATTTAAAAAAAAAATACTATAAACATACGTAAAAAATATAAAAGTATCTAAATTAGATTTTATTGTTCATAAATCAATAAAATACTAATTTGAAATCCTACATTTGTATACAAACTAGTTTTTATTAAGTTTTGAATCAATTTTACCTTAGTTATAGTCTTTTTTGAGTAAGATTATTGTGTTTTACTAGATCTATCAAAAACACTATAAACAATACTATAAATCTTATATACAAGGAATTGGATTGATTTATCTTATGAACCAATTTATATAATGTAACTAGATACTATTCTAATCATCTTATCAAGAGACATTTCAGGGATTAGATAAATAGAGGTGCTCTTTAGAAAATATAAAAAAATAAAAATTAATAAAAAAATAGTTTTTTAAAATTTTTGTTATATATTATATACATGAATTTTAAAAAAAAATATCTTTTTTAGGTTTTTCTAAGAGGTGCATATCTTTTTTATCTTTGTCATCGGTGTCCTCTTTTATCGTAGTTCCAATATATCCTTGATAAGCTATAATAATAATTTTTAATTTTTTAATCAATATATAGGTGTAAAAAATATTTTTTAATAAAGTTATAATATTTTGAAAGAGGTGTGAAAAATATCATATAAATTAAAAAATATTCTAACTAACACAGTATGTTTTATATATGAAAGATTAGACTAAATGTATAGAAGTTTGGGCAGAAAAAATAATTTAGTCATGTCAAGGATATTCCAATGATTATAAAAAGATGAAGATCCATCTTTTTAGGTTTTTCTTATGAAGTGTCTCCATTTTTAGTATTTCCTACGTCACTCTCATTTTTTTCCTAATATATGAAATATCCCCACCTACCCCACCCACCATTTTTTTTGTCTTTCCTTTTGACCCAATTAGTTATTGTGTCTTTATATTATATTATACTATTTTTAATAATATTAGAAAAATATTATAACATAGAATACAAATTTTATATCATGATTTTTTAATATTATTAAAAAAATACTATAATATAATATAATATAATATATATTATAAAAATTAAAAAGTATTATAATAGATTATAAAGAAGATAGGAGGATAAAAAGAAAGTATTTTAAGAAATAGAAAAAAAATATCGTTAGAAAATTCTGAAAATAAGAATTCAAGAATAAGATTTATTTTTCTCTTTAAATTCGTCCTATATACGTATAAGTTAATTTTCTTTGTTGTGTTGTGCTGTGCGCCAAACTTCTCTGCACTTCTTGCACCGGCGGAGCTTCTCAGGGGTCGCCAATGGTCGACACGCGCCCCCATCGTCCATCGTCCTTCGCCCGCTTCGTCACGGAGACCAACGCCCGCCTTGGCGTCATTCTCAAGTAAAGCAGACGCATCATCCGTCTTTTCAAACCTCAGCGGAAAAGCAAGGCGTCGGTCGACAGAGTCAGCAAACAGCGACAGCTTCCCCCACCACCTCCGTTTCTCTTCATCCGTGCTGGTGCGTTCGTCTTTTGAGTCTCCGAAGTGGCCCGAAGACAGACGGCCCCCCCTAAGAGCCACCGATACCAACAGGTCCAGCAGTCCCCGTCCGGCCTTCCTCGACTTGAAGATTCCCAGAAGATGACATCCTCACTGGCACTGTAGAACTTCTTCTTCCATCTTATCTAATGCTCAACCTAAACTAGACATAAATATGTACTGAAATTTAAGTGGATAAGATTAGAATCTGCGATCGTTAATTATGGATGTCATGATCCATCATTGTTCATATAAAATTGAGATGGCAACCGCCAATCCAACCTCTTCCACTGCCTAACATCGAATCTTTATTAGCCTTCTTTTTCCTTCTCTCTCTTCGTTTCTTGCCGTGTAAACAAGTATAAAGCCGACACTGCGGTTGCACATGTCACGGACTTGTAGCAGCGACAAACGAAGCCGCCGCCCTCGGCCCCTCCTCCCCCCTCATGTCGGCTTCCTCGCTCATGAGCGCTCACGGGGTGGTCCTGGCAACCGCCGTGGCCGTCTCCGGCACCGTCATCCTGATCGCCCTCCGCCGGCAGAAGCCCTTCTCTCTCTCCTCCGCCACCGTCCCGGCACCTCCTCCGTGGCGCAATCTGCGGTCCTGCATGTCCTCTTCCGGTGCGAGCCTCCTGCTGAATCCCTCCTCTCTGTTCCCACTTTGCTTTCTCTAAGCTGATGGAGGTCGTCAATGCGCAGAGGAGAGGAAGAGGGCGAGGGCGAACAGGAAGAAGAAGAAGCGAGTTCAGTTCGCGGCCGAAGTGGTGGAGTTCGACCTGGGGAGCTCGGCGGAGGATCACTCGCTCGGAGATCGTCGTCGAGGAGGAGAAGGGCTGGAGGCGAGCCGGATGCCGGCGAACAGAGCCGCCCTGTACAATGGAATTCTCAGAGATCGGGGGATGCAGAGGATGTCCTGCTGCTACTGATCGTCGTCGTCATCATCATCATCATCATCGTCTGTTGTATGAATGATTTCTCTTCTTCTTGTTGTGCTTCTTCCTCGGCTCGTTGTTCCAGTGGAAGAACAACATGCTCGGATTACTCCTAACTCTGTGTAATTAGTCATCGAGTTCTCGAAGAACAAGATTGACCTGCATCCGAGCTTCTTTTCTCCTTATCTCGAGCACAACTCTTAACAGGAAGAATACAACTGTTGCGGTCGGTCAACGAGTGGGTCATGGCGTCAGCCTGAGAGCAGGAAGACTTGTCATCGTCCTCGAGCAGCGGTGGATGAGGAATCGCCCTCCCACCACAGTGACTGTCGAAGAATATGCGGGGAACATCTCGAGCAATGGCACGCGACAACAGCAATGCATGAGACCCACCCTGCGCTGTGCCATCATCCAGCTTTCGGTTGGAAAGCATCTTTTTGATAAGAGAGAAATATATATTTCTTTGGGTTGCAATTGAGATAAAATAATCATTTGATTAATTTGATCATTAATAAGTGGTGATAAAGGCAATTAATTAATTTGATCATCAATCATGAAACTTCTAATTTTCATTAGTCATTTGGGCGACTCGATTGAGCCAATCATACGGCAATTGTCTGTGAGCTGTGTGACATAATGGATCATATTACCACAATTTGTAGCTCTCGCTGCCAATCATACTTTTCACTCTTTAGGTCTTTTTTCTGGAAAATGACCAAATTAGCAGTCAAAACATCCCATCCCATCCCATCACATCACATCAGACCTTTAACTCGCTCTACACACTCCAAATATTATGTTAATATTGTTTCTAAATATTATCAATATTACTAAATATAATATTTTCTTATCTTGGTACATAAGAAAGTATTTTTCTGCGCAATTATCTTGATATTTTATTTTCTCCTCATCACCTATATGTTTTTTTCATTTGATTCTAATCTTTCTAGACTTCATGAGGGTGAATTGTAGCTTTTGGGGTTAGCTCACTTTCACGGGATCACGACGTGTGTCGCCCGGGGCATAAGGGGCACAATGACTTGATATCATCCTCATCTTCCTTTGGTTTATCATAAGATAATTCACGCATCACATGTAGTAATATTCCCCTTTTTATTAATTATATAAGAGTTAAATCTTTCTGAATCAACATTACATCCAGATATATTTCTCATCATTTACTTTTTCTCTTTATCTAGCTTATCTACTGGTTCGAATTCGAATTTTAAGACTTCATTTGTAGATAATTTTATTACCTTTAATTTTATACGAAAGGTTTATTCCCCCGACCTTGTCCAAGTTACTTACTAGTTAAGTCAGTACCTTTTTTTTTTTATCTAGCTTCAATGACTCCTTCAAACAGAGAAATTTTATCATTCAACCATTAGAAATAAATTATTTATCATCGTAAAATTTATTAGTGCACTTGAAAGATAATCTAGTAATTAAGAGACATTAATGGTTTGTATCGTGTATCAACGATTAATTTCCGGTTCCATCGAAATAATTATTTATTTCAAAGTACCTTGTCACTTTGGTAAAAAAAAAATGAAAAAAGAAAACAAAGGTTTATAAAACTAGAATTTAAAAGGATAGGTGCAGAGACTCAATGAAAGTTGGTAGCTAAAATCCATCTATGAAAATTATATAAAAGATGGTCCAAATCACTTTTTGTTCTATTGTAACAAAAGATTCTCTTTTCATGTAATTTTATGTAGTGAGAATGAAGCTTACGGAATTTTAAAAAGAGAATAGCTGAAAAAAACTGAAAAAAAAGAAATTACTGAATGATCATACAAATTGACCAATGAATTAGAAGGACGTGATTAAGAAAGAAAGACAGAAACAATATAGTGTTTTGCATACTTAATTATATTTGAGTTTCATTTCATTTTCAAAAAAAAAAATTAAATTCTTTTTTTGCGAGTAGAATATATAGAATATGATTGAATTGTATAATAAGAGTAATATTTATTTAGTGCATGACAATATAGCTATCTAGCTATCTGCATATCACATCTTTTATCGTAATTTCACTTGTGGCAATTGAAGTCACGTCAAATATTAAGTGTTTATTTTAGTCAACTCTCCGTTATCTTTCTTTGACTAGTGGCATGTACTTACATGGTGCCAATTTTTTCAATTATTAAGCATGGCTAAGTGATCCTATTTCTTTCAGAGTTTTTATTTGAGTTGTCAATTCATTGAGCATTGCTCAAGTTGTATTTTTTTTGTTAATTTTGAGAAATATTTATCATCCGAAAAGAAAAAAAAAATGGAGCCTTTCTCTAAAGAAATGCGTTGAGAAACGATATATGTATAGAACCTTTCAACGAAATATTATTTTTTTAAATATCTCAAGATATATAAATATAACTAATATATCTTCTTCGTAAAAGATTTCTTCATAATGATCATGAACAGTAGCTTAGAGTGTTCGAACCTTCAACAAAAATTCGGAGTAGCAATCCTTTCAAATTTTAAATTTGGATGTATCACTCTTGTTAAATCGTCATCTTATTTTTTTCATACATAAATATCAAAAATAGTAATTCACTAGAATAGAAAATGATAGAGGCATATATATAGAACGACAACTTTGTATTCCTTACTTACTGAAATCTTCAATTAATTTATGATTCGTGGATCAATCACCAAGATATATGTGGATCAATTAATTTTTTAAGAATGATTGCCTTTGGGTTGGTGTTGTCAAAGCCAAATATAATTTTATTTATCCTTGACAGCTTGGGTCCCACCACAAAATTAATTGGTCTTAACATTTATTACTTTAAGGTAGGCTGTGGAAGCATTGATTGAAATTGATGTTCTTTACCCACTCCATTTTGTCACTATTGTGGAACACACTAGATAAAAAATATGGTTTCTAAGTACACTCAGTTCTTTTAATTTTATCACCAAAATAATTTATTAATTATTTTTAACTATAAAGGAATTGATTTTAATTTTTAATTTTTGTTAGGTCATCCGATTTTTAGATTTTTAATTAGGCTAATAATATTTAACTTTTGCCTTTGTGAAAAAAATCATCAACTTTCATTTGGTATGTCGTTACGTTCTTACCTCTTGAAATAATTTATAATTAGGTTAAAAATTTATTCTAGTAATTTCCTTTTATAATTGTCAACATAATGTGACCTTTTTTTTATCAATTTATAGAAAAATTTATTACTAAATGTTCAATCATCTTTTGAATTATAATTTTATCAAATGACTCTTAGTTTCATGAATTTTATATTCATTAATTACAATTTAAACATAAGATATATAATTATTGTAAATTTATAGAAATCATATATTCAAAATTATTTTATATATTTAGTCTTCTCTCAAGTTAACTTGACGATAACTTACCTTCGCTCTCGACACCCGATAAATAATTATTTACTGACTTATAACTATTCATTTAATCTTCTAAAATCTTTATTTAATTTTTTTTTTTCTCTCTTGCACTCAATATGCTCGTTGAATTACTTGTAAAACTTCTTTCTTCGTGAGACATCATTTCTTCGTGAGATATCGGGACTTGTCCGTCACTCATTTTTAAACTAATCAACTTATTATTTTACGGATCCTTCGTATCATCCTTTGCATACGCATATATTGTGAGGACATCTCATAAAAGATAATGGTAAATCATATTCGTCTCATCACAAAACGGAGCAAACCATTAGCAGCAGTAGCCACAAAGAATTCGCAGGCAATCCCACCGCTGAGATGCAGCTCACTGTTGACGCGCGTATTGCCTAAGCCAAGAACGTGGCGTCACTTGACCTAAAGTCAATCACCTATGTGTCCAATTCGCATCAGACCCCTATGATGCTCAAGGTCATCCATTTTTTAGATTCCTAAAAATTAGTCTTTATCCCTATTTGAGGCTGATAATAGTTGACTTTTGCCTTTGTGAAAAAAATCATCAATTTCATTTGATATATCGTTATTTTCTTACCTCTTGAAATAATTTATAATTAGGTTAAAGAATTTGTTCTAGTAATTTACTTTTATAATTGTCAACATAATTTGACCTTTTTTTTACCAATTTATAGAAAATTTTGTTCCTAAATGTTCAATCATCTTTTGAATTATAATTTTATCAAATGACTCTTAGTTTCATAAATTTTATATTCATTAATTAAAATTTGAACGTAAGATATATAATTATCATAAATTCATAGAAACCGTATATTCCATAAAAGATAATGGTAAATCAAATTCGCCTCATCACAACATTAGCAGCAGTAGCCACTTGGAATTCCCAGTCAATCCAACCGCTGAGATGCAGCTCAGTGTTGACGCGCGTATTGCCTAAGCCAAGAACGTGGCGTCACCTGCGCTTCCCTCCAGAACACTCTACGTGCTTCTTCGATCCTCTCTCTGTCTCTCTCTCTCTCTCTCTCTCTCTCTCGTGACCTTGCTGGAAGGTTTTGGACTCCTCCATTCTTCTTCTCTCAGCAGCCAACCCACCATATTTAATTCCGACGTTTCTCCTTGATTCCCATAGTTTGATCCTCGTCTGTGATGGCTCTAGCTCGTGCTTGCCTCAGCAACGCTCTCCGAAGCCGCTCCTTCTCGTTGCTGCACACTGGGGGAGCCGCACGCTTAAGAGGACTCGCGGCGGCGCCTTCCTTCCCTTACTCTTCTTCCGGAGACGCTGCTGCCGACTCTTCTCCGGAAGACAGAAGTGATCAGGTGGCGGCGACTCGTGCACCTTCCCCTGCTCGGGGACGCCGCAGCCGTCGGCTCTCATGGAGGAATCCCTGGGACCTCAGTCCCTTCCACCTCAACGATGGTACGCAGTGATGACCAAAGAATCCACTACGGCTGACTCCACCTGTGCCGACCTGGTTTCTCTGTTTTCGTCAGGGTTCGGGAATGCGCTCCTGCAGGTGTCGGAGAACCTGAACGGGCTGTTGGAGAGGTTGTCGCCATCTCGCCTGCTCGGCCGGCTGAAGGAGGACGACAAGTGCTACAAGCTGCGGTACGAGGTGCCAGGCCTGAGAAAGGAAGACCTGCGAGTCACGGTGGAAGAGGGGATGCTGGTGATAACCGGGGAGTCCGAGGACGAGGACGCAGGGGACGAGTCGTCGTCATCGACGACGGAGGACGAGGGGGACGGCGGCTGGCACACGAGGAGGTACGGGTACATCAACGCCACCTTACTGCTGCCGGAAGACGCCAAGGCGGACGAGATTAGGGCGGAGCTGAGGGACGGGATCCTGCGCATCTACATACCCAGGTCGGAGGAGAAGAAGAGCAACGCAAGGGAGATCGAAATCAACTAGCCGCCGTATGTTGTGCTTGTGTTGTTTCCTACTACAGGAGAATAAGACATCGACTGTTTGTGGACTCGCTGTAATGTCATTGTCGTCGGCACTTGGAAGGAGTAAGACTCTCATCTCGGCTGTAGTCGGTGGTGCCGTCAGCGCCCACCGGGCGGAGCATGACATGGACCGTGGCACTGATCAAGCACAAATGGGCCGCGCACTCTAACAAAGCCAGTATGAGTTGGGCCTTTTCTGGGCCCTAATTTATCAACAGCTAGCAAAAGATCACATCCGTCATAGACTAAATAACATGTATTACATTTAAAAGCGTTAAAAAATTAATTATTGGCTCTTTTCCTATTAATATTGTATTTAACATAACTTTCTTTACATTATGTTTTCTAGCCGTTTTAATCAATGAACGCATGTTGTTTTTATCTTCTTTAATCGTCTTAGGTTAATGCTAAAACATATTTTTTCTTAAATCAAAGGTGTCAACTAAGACTTTATTATCATCGTTATTGTTAGGATTGCTTGTGAGCTTATGGGTCATATTTACGTCAACTTATGTAAGCTTGACTCAGCGTGAATGCAATGCTTGTCGAATTGAGTACGTTTCTATTTTTTATGCTGTGACGGTGACAGCCAGATGCATGTTCCATTCGACAAGGGCAGATGCATGCATGTCCGTTGTCCATCCTCCCTTCCCTGCCCATGCACCATACGCTGTACCAACAATATATATATATATATCCCAAGGTTGATAACTTGGATTAAGAGTGACACGTGTTAACAACACTGTTATATTGGGTCACACCCCTTCATAAATATGCCCTTCATGTGAATTAGTGTTGATTATTGTACTGGATGATCAAGCGTTCTTGTACTTTAATTAAATGTCAATTTTAGGAATACTCTTAATTTCTTCCTATACATTATAGATTATTTACTAGGCTGCATTTGTTTTATGTTTTTCCTTATACGTTATACATTAGTTCACTAATTATATTATTTGAGATATATAAATACTAAAAGAATTATTCAAAAATTATTTTAAATTTGAAAATTTTCTATAGAGCTTCTCAACTTTTAAAAAAATTCTAGGTAACCTATTTGGCAAGATCGAATGACTATTTAACTTATGTCTTTATCAGAATCACTATCGTCTTCTTTTGAGATGTTTCTATTACTCCACTTATATTCTTATTGACGAGGTTAGCTACGAAGATAAGTGACTAAAAGAGTAAAGAATTAGAAGGTAGAGTGATTGATGGGTGATGGTCGATCGATAGAGGTAGAATAATTATTTTGAAAAAAAAATACTATCAGCGAAACTTTCGGGATCCAAAATGTCTTAACATAAGTTTTTTTTTTTTCAAAGATTTATTATATTAATATTATATTTTTTATAAAGGGGAAACGTTGTAAATTAAACTATGACATTACAATAATTCTTTAAAATCTTTATCAATTAAACTAGTCAATATATTTGTATATGATTTATGTATTTAATTTTATATTACTTTGTCACTTATTACCATATTCTTTTAAGTACCGTTCCTTATTTAATTTTATTATATAATATTATTATGATATATTTTAAATTGTTACTATGATATATAATATTTTATCCATCTATTTTAAATTATGGACAAAGATTCGTTTAAATCGTCTAACCCATATCGGATAAAATGATTTTTTTTCTTTTAAAAGCTGGAATATTTTTAATAATTCATTTTATTTTTGGTGCCTCGTGTTAGAGAAGAGAAGGAATCGTATCCGTTTAGGCCCAGCATCAAGATTTGTGTTGATGATTGCCGCCCACACTCTCCGTGGCGGCAACTTCGCGACGAGGATGGGAAGGTGCAATGCATTCAAAGGGCAAAACTGAAAATTCGTTCCGTCTCTTATCCTCTCTCTCTTTCTCTCTCTCTCTCTCCCTTCTTTTATTATGTTGAGCCGACGCCCGGCTTCCCCATTCCAACGCCGGCTACGGATTCCCCCTCCTCCGCCTGTGTCTATCGATCGAACCTGTATGGGATTTTGTGATGCTCCCCGAGGTCTTTAACGTTCCAGTGGTGCATTTTTTCTCCTTGATCAGCTACACGTTGCTGTTCCTGGTGGTCGGATCCGGATCTTCCGGGTTGCTCCTCCTCCGTTTGTGCTCATGGCGGCGCTCGTCAAATATGGAGGTAATCCCTCTTCCCTGCTCTCAGTTCGTTAATTTGTGATTTAATTGACATGAAGTCGATGGCTTTTGCGTTTTGATCTACTCTATCGTTGCTATTTTCTGTTAATGATGGATTTCAGGAGCCCCTTTCTGGATCAGAGGGTCCTTTTGCTAGTTATAGTTGGTTATGAGGACTTTAGACTTTGTTTGGAGGCGAGACTTGCTAAATTGGATTAAGAGATATTAGATCATATGTTCTCTGTTTTTTTGCTATTCGGTACTATCATCTTGTTGTCATTTCAACTTCTGATCCGATTTTTGTTCGATAACCCTTAAATATTCAGTAAATTTTGCTTCATTTTGATTCTCTTTTGCGAACTCTTTGGTTCTTGTTGTGCTTTGGAGAGCAAATCTCCATGATTTCGCTATTCAGTGTTGTCTAGATTTAGGGATTTTTCACAAGTTACATAAGGTACTGCTCAAAGTAAATTCGGAAACAAATGGGGAATCAAGGGCACAAGATGGCATCTTGTTGTGCTCGACTCCTGGATTGTACTTCCTTTAAATCTCCTGCTGATTTTTTATGCGTTTTCTTGATAATTGTATTTGTATCTTAGATCAGATTTAGATCCTCTTTTGGAACTCACCATCATCCTCCTTTCTTGGTCTTGCAGGCAACGATGATATCTGCCCTGGCCCTTTTTACTCGAATCTCACTGATTCGAGCCTTCTCCTTTCTCTTGGTCAAAAGGCTGATGTCTACGGCCCCCCTTGCAAGAGATATCGGGTCACGGCACCTCTTATCTTCAGAGCTGGAGAAAAGGTCATAGACGAAGAGAAACAGCCCCGATCGATCGACACCCTTCCTGACGAGTGCCTCTTTGAGATCCTCAGGCGGTTGCCCGGAGATAAGGAGAGGAGCAACTCTGCTTGTGTCTCCAAGCACTGGCTTATGCTTGTTAGCAGCATCCGTTCTTCAGAGCTTGCTGCTTGCAATAAGGCCTGCGATGAATCTGTGAAGAACCCCTCGCTGTTCCTGAATAATGATGTGATTGTCGATGAACAGGAAAGCGAGAACAATGGGTATCTCACCAGGTGCTTGGATGCAGAGGAAGCTACGGATATTAGACTTGCTTCTATTGCCCTTGGAACCTGTAGTCGTGGTGGGCTAGGCAAGCTTTCCATCCGAGGAAGCAATTCAACTCGTGTTACTGATGTTGGGCTTTCTGCTATTGCTCGTGGTTGCCCTTCCCTACGGGTTCTATCTATGTGGAAGGTACCCTTTGTCACTGATGTTGGCCTATCTGAGATTGCCAATGGATGCCCATTGTTGGAAAAGCTTGACCTCTGCCAGTGTCCACTGATTTCAGACAAGGGCTTGATAGCTGTTGCTCAGAAGTGCCCTGACTTAACATCTTTGTCAATTAAATCTTGTTCGAGAATTGGCAATGAAGGTCTGCAGGCTATTGGTCGTTGCTGTCCAAAACTAAAATCTGTAACTATAAATGACTGTCTGCAGGTTGGTGACAAAGGAATTGCAAGCTTGGTTTCTTCAGCCTCTTCTTCCTTGGAAAGGATAAGACTTCGGACCTTGAATATCAGTGATATTGCTCTTGCAGTCATTGGACACTATGGGAAGAATGTAATCGACCTATCTCTCACTGAGCTTCAGGATGTGAATGAAAAGGGATTTTGGGTTATGGGAAATACTCATGGCTTACAAAAGTTGAAGTCCATCAGTATCAACTGTTGCAATGGGCTTACTGATACTGCCTTGCAAGCTATTGCCAAGGGTTCCCCCTTCCTGAAGCAGCTCTTTGTTTGCAAATCTTGCTACCTGTCTGATGCTGGTTTGATAGCATTTGCTGGAACAGCAAAGGCACTTGAGGGTTTGCACCTTGAGGATTGTAACCATATCACTCTTATGGGCATCCTTGGTGCTCTTTTGAAGCGCAGTGCAGAATTGAAGTCACTAAGTTTGGTGAGATGCTTGGGCCTCAAAGACATATCTTTTGAATTTTCACAACTGCCGTCATGCATGTCACTTAGGTCCCTGACTATCCAAGACTGTCCAGGAGTCACTAGTGCTAGCATACAAGTGGTAGGGAGGATCTGCCCCCAGTTACAGAATATAGATTTGAGTGGTCAAGTTGGGGTAACTGATGAATCGCTCATCCCACTGATCGAGAGTTCTGAGGTGGGCTTTGTGGAGATCAATCTGACCGGTTGTGTTAACGTAACAGATGACTTGGTAACTATGCTGATCAAGGTACATGGAAGTAGTCTGAAGATGCTTAATCTTCATGGTTGTAGGAAGATCACTGATAGAAGCCTTCTGGCAATTACAGAAAGTTGCTCTGTGCTTGATGACCTTGATTTGTCAAGTTGTTCAGTAAGTGATTATGGTGTGGCACTCCTGGCATCAGCAAGGCAGCTTAACTTGCATATCCTCTCTCTTGCAAGTTGCTCACAGGTTACACTGAAGAGTCTGCCATTCTTGGGAAACTTGGGGCTTTCCATCGTGGGCCTAAATCTTCAGGACTGCAGCTTGATCAGTGCCCATGGGCTGAGGTTGCTTGAGGAGAAGCTATGGTGGTGTGATATCATTTCCTAGTTGAGTTGAAGTACAAAAAAATGGTCAGGGGAATCTCTTGGTAGTCCAATCATTAGTCAATCATGAAATCCAGCACCATGATTGATTGTGAACAGCAGCAATCTATTTCTGTTTAGTTTTTGGCTCGTGCCTCTGGCCGTAAGCTTTCGCCTTGCTCGAAGATTTTGGTTGTCTTCCATGGACCATTGGCCTATCTTGTATTTTTTGCAGATTGTTCTCCTTTCACAGGAAAACTCTGTTTGGGGGGTTTGGCAGTCTTTAACTGGCTGGCTATCCCCCATTTTGGCCTTGGTTTGTGAGATCACAACCATATCTAACCTTGAGTCAAGTTGTTGCTCAATTATGAGCCTAGTTAGCTCATATGTGCTCTATGTTTTTCATATGGTCATGGTTATGTATCATCAGGGAAGCATCATACATTGCTTGCTTCTATGGTTTGTTTTAGCCAAATCCTATATTGGCAATGCCCGGCAGGGCGAACTTGTGTCCAAATGTTTCGGGTCTGTCAGTCCTTAGAGTTGTTCCAGTCTGGGCTTCATGTCCTAACGAGTCATTTGAGTCTATTCTCCTCTTCAGTATGGGTCTTTGGTTGGTTGCTTCTTGCACAGTTCTGTTTGGATGCCCGAGATTCAAGGGATTTGGTTATCGGCAGCTGATAGCTAAAAGCATGCCATGACAACCATGTTTGGTTGTTTTTTGTTCACCAAATCCTACTTTTGCAGGCTGATTCGGGAGGACTGTAATATCTGCAACCTTTCTGTAATGAATGAATAAAATCCTGTGTATGCATGATCTCTCTGACTTCTTTGGCACCTGTAGTTCTGACATCCTACAGTGACTAAATGGTCTGGTTGGGTTACCTTTCTGGCTTGTTTGGTGTTGTAATGGATATCTGTTTGCATCATTTGCCTACAGAGTTAGTGGTGGAAGTGGCACCAACCTTTGTTCCTGGTTGTTGCCGGTGCTTTCTGGATTTGGGTGGCTATGGATAATGTAATGGCCAAGGTTGCTCCATCTAAAGTAGTCTGAAGTTGCCTTCCGATGATGGTGATGCCAAAGTTCCTTCTCATCTTCTATCCACCATCTCTTATCCCCACACCTCTCGTGTTTGAAGATTGGAAAGAGCACAATCATGACTTGCTTTCGAATCTATACTTCTTGCGCTAGGTCAACTCAACCATACAGCAAACTGAGAAAAGTGATCATCATAGGTAAAGAGCACAGGAAGAGGAGTTGACGAAAACCTGACTTCATATGGTAGCCATTCAAATGCCGACCTCACATGGTGGCTTCTGCAGAACCCATAAACAAGCTTCAAAAGTCAAATGATCTAAACACATCGAGCCTCTCCATCCTTCCTAAACCTGAATCAGAAACAATATGATGTTGTCAGAGGCAAACAATGATATAAAACAAATCAGATGCTGTAACTCACCTCATATGTTACTGTCAGAACCAACTGTCTGTTGTTTTAGATTTAATATCTATATTAGGTCGCATGATTTAGTGGGCAGATGATTCTGCTTTGAACCTCCAAATCATTACTTATTACCATCTACCATACTGAGTGCTCTCAATGTCTCTCAGAACTTTACGAGTTACCTGAAACCATGTCTATGCTCAACTTCTCCTGTGAACAATCTAAAGCTTTCGATCTCAACGCTACAATGACAAAATTTTCAAACTAAACGAAGACTTTTCTACTCGACAAAGTATTCCGAGTAAGCAAGCAAGACAGCTGGATTCTACAAGGTTTTGGTAGTACACACATGAACATACAAGTATATTAATCCAGAGATTCTTGAGATCTACATATCATTCTTCAATTCCAGTCACAAAGAATGGAACAAGGAACGAGATACCAAAAGCCCTCAGCAGCCATGTCACTGCTCTTATCACCTTCCATGGAAACATCGGCTAGTGGTGCAAAGGGTTGGGCCCCGTCGGAACTAGTCGCTTCTCGACGCCATACCGAGGATCGATTTCGTCGACACCGCTGGGATCAACGAGCGACGTTTTCTGGCTTTGGTTGTGCCGATGGTGATGGTGATGGTGCCTTGCATGACTGGTTGCAGCGACATCAAGCTTCGCCAACAACATCTTCCTGGGGATGGACGAGGTATTGGCGTGCGAAGACTGCAGCGAGCTCGGACCGCGAAGCAGCAGCAGGAGGAGGGCGAGGCATAAAAGGAGAGCAGCAAGAGGGGATCTCCTCATGGCAACGGAGGAGGACAAGAAGAGAAGCGCTGGTGGAATGAGGAAGAGGCCATGGTGCAATTAATGAGATCCAACGTAGATGGCAGCAGATGTTTGACAGCGTAAGCTTGACAGCCAACTAAGAAAAGGCGGTACATTTGCGTAGCTGCGACTCCATTTGCGGAGTTACTTTAATCCATGTTGAGTCTTTCGGGCCTGCTATTGCGGGGAGGAGGAAGAAGGCCATCGCATTGGTCAATGGTGGATCGAACTTTCCTTGACGTTGAAGCAACAGCGGCGCACGCAGTTGACAAACCTCACATACTCATCCGGGTGTATGCATGGCACTGGGTTTGAGGGTTGACTTCCTACATCGCAACCACTGCCGCTGCCACTTTGGCCGGCCTTGCTTTAAGTATGCAACGCCACTGTTTACAGATCACACGGGGATTCACATTGCTCTTTGCTGGCCATCTGTTCTTCTACCAAAACAGATATGAATCTATAAAACAAGAAAGTACGACGAGTCCACCAAATCTGAGCTAAGTTTCTCAGCTCAGATCGTAATCACAGAAACTATGCAAGAGATAGAAGAAGATGATACAATAACAAGATGACATAAAACCCATGGAAGCTTAGCATTCTCGTTCAAGCATAGCTTTTGGATACAGTAAGTGAAGACTGAATTCTTCTGCTTCATGCATGTATGTGTTGTAGTGATCATTCAAATTATATTTTCTGCAACACAAGAAGTATAAAATTAGCATCTCCTCTGGCGATTTCTGATAAGCTGTGTCATGAGTTGGGAACATTCTTGTTGCAGTTTCTTGGTTTTATCTTCTGTGAGGAACCCCAGGCTGATGCAACTTTAACTTGGAGATGATAGCTGCATAATATTCAACATTGAAATCTGTGATGCATATATATCATTAATATTATTGCTGATATGCAATTATCTTCCCGGTGAAACGTGAAGGGTGTATGCATGGTGTGAGTCCTCATTTATCCACTATATATATCCAGTTTTCTGCTCATAAATTGCTGATGCATGACAAAAATCTTATCCACCTTCAAATGATGGAAGCAGTGGGAAGAGCAGAGTAGAGAGAGAGAGAGAGCGACTTCTTGGATGAATGGTGTGAACTTGGTTGGTTTGGTTCGAGATCAAAGCTGCTTATAATATATCTCATTCTCTGGAATAGTCTTCTCTTGCATTGGGTGGTGTGAGGGAGATGAGCATACCAAACGACATGTTTGAACCTCATCGTGCAGGTTTTCAGCTGCTTCACCTCCAAATCTCTCTCAAAGTTGACACATACATACTGTTCTCCATTTGCAAGCTTAGACTTATCATTTGCTGGAACAGCAGCAAGCTGGAGATAATATATGTCATTGATGATAAAAATGAAGACCTTAGCTAAGGAATTCCTCTTGACACCTAATACTACTCCTAATGCCAGTTTAAATACCAAAGCCTCACATCATGACTTTTCTCATGTCTTCTAGACGGACAAGGAAATGGTTTAATGCCAACTTACCCTCATATATCACAGGACACCTAATCTCCAACACTGCTCCTAACTATTATTATTCTAATAGATTCTAAGTAGGAGAGAAGACACTATTAGTACATTTCCTATTCCTTACTGGATGGTATTAGTCTTATAGTTCACATTAATCCTTCACAACTTCTGTGCTGACAGTCTCATTATCTGTATAGTATCTCAACACAATCTCATTGTAATTATCTCAACATAGTAATCAACAAAAAGAAACTTAGATATGAAAAAAAAAACACCAAATAAGGGTGTGATGGATACATACATGTTTTGAATCCTGTCATAATTTAAAGTAACATCTACTGCCTTGGAAGAAGTTAGAATTCTCATGCTATGGATCACATTATGAAGATTGAAATATTAATGTAATTTAATGTAATTTAAATATTATTATACTAATGTAATTTAAATATTATTATACTAAAGTCAGAGAAGAAGCTGTCAATCTCATTCGATATTAATGTAATTTAAATATTATTATACTAACTGTCGGGAACGAATGTGCCGTGGCTGATGAGTCAGCACGGCTTAGTCCACGAGTCGACGTCGGGAGTCTCCTGTCGGCTGAGTTGGTTGTCGGAACTGACTAGATCCTCGAGTTGGGGGTGGGTTGGTTGATGACTCGCCATGAGGGCGTTGGTCCGCGACTCCCGAGGTTGGGTTGTCTTCCTGCAAAAATAGCCTTCGTCGGGTGATTCCCGACTTTGGCCCCTCCAACGAGTAAGTCAGTAATCTCTTTTTCTCTTTTTTTTTTTGGAGGCCGGGATAGAGGTCTTTATACTACCGTGAAAGGGTCGGTCGTATGTGGATTAACGTGATGGACACAGCACGACATCAATATGGATTCTGGCTTGACGTGCGGGGGTGTTACCGTCTCGGGATTGCCAAGATCAGACGTGTCGAATAGTGTCTTGGGGGTACGAGTTTCGACGTGGCGTGTGGCATCAGCTTTGACGTGTCCTGAGGACAAAACATGTATTTTCACTAATAATAATATCAAATATAATGATATTATATAATATAATTTAACATTTTTAGTATTTTTAATCCGCTTTTGTTTAATTAGTGTTAGCCTCCCTCGCTCGCTCGCTTTCCCATTCGTCCGCACTGCCGATCCCCAAATGTAGACGTCTCCCTCCCAATTATTACTCCCCAAAACAGTAGCAGAGGCAGCAGTCGTCTCTCTCTCTCTCTCTCTCTCTCACTCACACGCGCACACACACACACACAGTCTCTCTCTCTGTTCTTACAGTCCAACAATGGCCACAGAAGAAGAAGATCCGCGGACCCACTCCCTCCCTCCGTACCCTCAGGTACACATCTCTGCTCCCTAAGCCGGAACCCTAACCCTAATTCATCATCATCAGCGTCTCTTTGCCTTTCGTCAGATGATACTGGCTGCGGTCGCAGCTTCCGGCGACAAGGATGGGACGAGCATGTCGGCGATCGCCGAGTACGTGGAGTCGTCCTACGAAGGCCAGCTCCCGCCGTCGCACGCCTCGCAGCTGGACGCACACCTCGCCCGCATGACCGAGGCCGGCGAGCTCCTCCTGGTCGGCAGCGGCTACTTCCGCCCTGGGCCAGAGGCACCTCCGCCCGTCAAGCGCCGCCGCGGCCGGCCGCCCAAGCCCAAGCTCCCCGACCCAGCTGGCCCCGCCGACGCGGCCCCGAGGCGGCGTGGCCGGCCGCCGAAACCAGTCGATCCCCTGGCCCCCGCCAAGATCCCCCGGCCGCGCGGCCGACCCCCCAAGCGCGCCGCCGATGGTCCGGATCCGGGTCAGCCGGGTTTGACCAAGAGACCGAGGGGCCGGCCGCCTAAAGTTAGGCAGCAG